ATATATGTATATATATATGTGTATACATATATATATGTATATATATATATGTATGTATATATATATATGTATATATATATGTATGTATGTATATATATATATATGTATATATGTACATATCAAAAGAGTGAATTACAATTCTCGTCAATCACCGCCTCAATTTCTTTAATATCTCTCTCTAAAAACTTTAAATTCTCTCTAAAAATTCTCTCAATTTACTAAGAAAATCAGGGTAACAATTATATATTCGGAATCTACTCTTTGGACCCTTCTTAAAGATATAAATTTCATTCGTCTATTAGAGTGTTTATGTTAGGGTATTTGAGGTTAGTTTATAATTGTGTATGTGATTTATATATGAATTTGTATTTACAATTTATGGTTTAAATACCTGTTTTGAAATGATGAGATTGGTTAAAATGATGTAGAAAGAAAAATGGTAAATTATGGATTCAATATAGTTAGATTGGGTATATAAGATTAACCGCATATCAAGTGTTCGGTTAAATGTCTAAAAGAGCAAAATTGTATGATCAAGCTTAAGATTATAATCATTAAGCTTCTTTGTGTTGTTTAGTATGTTATGGTATGTTTAGAACATTTAAATGTTGCAAATCATTGAAGTTGGGATCATAAAAGTGAGTTGGGGAAAAATGTGGAAATCGGAATTTTGGACAGCTTCAAGTCCAGCACTTTGACACTTGACACTGTATAACTCACAAACCGTAAGTCGGAATAAGCTCGTATTTTGCAGTTAAAAAGACCTTACTGTACACTACAACTTCCATGAGAGTCGAAAAGCCAGTTATGACTCGTGGCTCGAAACGATGTGTTTTCGAGGCTGTTTGCACTGTATTCGGGATTAATCTGCTGTTTTGTAAAAATCATATAAAATAGATGGATGATCCAAATGAGATGATTCCAAAACTAATAGACTCGCATGATACCAAACTACAACTTTCATTTAAATAATATGATCTGGATTGGTCTTTAAGTAGGGTAAAAATGCTTTAAAAAAAGAGGGCCGCAAGCGGTCGGATCGAAAGAGCATAAGGCTAAGTTTTACGTTTGAGTTTTCAATTCGTATTCGGTTGTCCCTCTTGAAGTCTACGTTGTTTAAGTACATTAAGACATAAGTAATTTTATTAGAATAATTATGTTATGGTTTTTACGCCTTGCAAATAGTAACCCGTTTATACATTCGTTAGGCAGGTGGGCAAGTCAAACTTGAACGTGAATTCAGTTTGATTGTGCGTTAAATATCAAATTCGGTTAAGGTACAAATATCCTACTTCACTTGAAACGAGGATAGCCATTTGTATAAGGCTTCCAAATCCGAATACATTTATTCCAAAATTCTCAGTGTGTTCATCAAATGTTATTGAGCTTTTATTATTTTTATTTGGAACATGGATCATTTTGATCACTTAACTTGTTAGATTGCATCTATTTTACTATAGACTCAATATTGGGGGCACCGGTATTGAGATGTTTCCATGGTGGCTAAAACGATCATGGTGTCCTCACTTGTATAGTCCTTAAGGGTGTGTTTGGTATGCAGACTACATGGGACGGGAGGGGACAAAAAAAAAATAGTCCCATGTTTGGCATGGCAGGGACAAAAAATACATAGGACAAGATGGGACTATTTTTAAATTTCATGGGACAAAACTTGATAATTTTTGTTCCACCAAAAAAGGTGGAACAAAATGGTACTAAATATAAAATGACTATGTTACCCTTTTCTTTTTTACTTTTCTTCTTGTATTTCCTGGTGTTTTTTTTGGTTGAATCGGCAGTAATCTTGTTAGTCAATGATGCTGCCAAAATGCCAATTCAATCTTCTTGAAATTGTAAAGTATTTTGAACTTTGTGACTTAGCAATTAAATTTACTTAATTCTGATTTAACTTCTCAATAATTTCTTATTTAACTTTTGATAAAAAATTTCTTCTTTTCTGGCATGTTGAAGACTGTTTGTACTTTTAGCTTTTGTTCATTATTTGGATTACTATGGGTAGCCTAATGTAATAGTGATATAAAATAACATTAAACAACATTTAGGGGTAATATGGTTATTTTAACAGTTTTGTCATGTCATGTCCTGTCCTAGTCGTACCAAACATAAGACAGACAATTAGTCATGTCCCATCCCGTTCTGTCCCATCCTATCCAGTCTCTTCCCGTCCTGTCCAGTCTCGTCTCGTCCTGTCCAGTCTGCGTACCAAATGGTACCTAAAGGTGGACTTGATTATGTACCAGTCGAATAGAGAGCATATGGATCGATCCTAGGAACCGTTATCGGATAATAAATTGTTGTCGTGGTTAAATCCACGAAGAGGATTGTTGTGTTGTGTTTGCACCCCTTTCCTCACTCATGCCCGAACGGACTGATCATCCTTTGGGAACAACACGTCCTCGTGTTGCGGTTTGGTCTTCGGACCCTTGACATGCCTTCGAGACATTTTGACTTTCTTTTGGATTATCACTTAACATTATAAATTGCTTTTGAACTTGTTATCTCATATTCATTGTTTAGTCATTATTATTCATTCACTGAGCATTAAGCTCAGCCGAGATTTTCTTGTCCACGGCAACTACATGACTTAGTAGAGATTTTGGGGTGAGAACTACGGAGATGACAATACTGAAGATATCCATTACGTCATACTTTTGTTAACTTTTCATGACTAATGTAAATATACTGGTAATTTGTGACCGTATTTTGAGACACGTTATCTCCGTTTGTGGTTATGTAATTATCTTTTGTTAAATTATTAGCTGCTCTGTTTTATATAATGCATTGATTTTTCTAAACCAATTATGGCATCTCCAGTCTTTTACCACGCGGGACGCGGGTGTTGCAAAAATACTTCTCACATGGCAATCATTTTTGGGTGTTCCCCACATTTTTCCATTTTGAAGATAGTTTTAGGAAATCTATTGGAGCATATAATTGGTACATCTCCATTTCCCCATTTTCTCCATTTTGGAGAATCTGTTGGTGATGCTCTTAGGAGGCGTATATGCTCGGACATAGAAAATGCATGCATTGTGAGAGAAAGATGGAGGTGACAAGAATGAGGATACTCAGATGGACTTGTAGCCGGACCATGCTAGACTATTTACAAAATGAGGTCTTTAGAGAGTTGGAAGTAGTGTGTATCACAGAAAAAATGAGAAAGACAGAGGTAGTTTGGACACGTTTGCTATCTGCAGCAATGAGGGTAGAGAGCTTCGCGGTCGAGAGTATGAAGTGGAGCGATTCAAAGAGGATGTTGGACGAGCAACTGAGACTGGACATGAAGGCGACATTTTGAAAGATATGACCTCATATAGAAGTTCGTGGAGACGCGGGACTAAGAACTTGCGGATAATGAGGATAAAGGAGGAGTGGAGAGGTAGAGGATGGGTCAGAGGCAACATTATGGTTCTCCTGCATTCCTACTTGCATTTTTGCTTTACCGCCTCATATTTAGCTTTGGTGGTTCCACACCCATGCATGTGCCTTCTTTGTCCTTGCATGCTTTCTTTTTTTTTCTTGCTACTTTTTCATCAACTCTTCCAAACTACTTTTCTATTTTATATTTTTATCACTTTCTGTTGTGTCAACCTTTTATCGTAAAAATTTATGAACCATTATTTATTCACTAAAGCCTTTTTACAAGTCAGGGTCCTCACAGAAAAATCCTCTCTACTCTTCAGGGTAGACATGGTCTTCTCGAGGCAAGGCGGTGGAAAAACAAACCTGAGGCGGCGCCTCTTCTGGGCTAGTTGAGGCATACGCCTCAATCCACTGAGGCAGGTTTGAGGCGGGGGGGCTGCGGTGATGCTAAGATATTAGGTATTTAGAGTTTAAAATACGTAGGTTTCTCTCTGCTCCCTCAAGCTCATCTCCTCCATCCCTTCTGCGGTTCTCCATAGACCTCATCTCCTTCAATTAACTTTCACGAGCTCTTATTCGGTTCTCAAGTCTCCCACATTGAATATATATATATATATATATATATATATACACACGCATATACACACACGCATATATATTCAAAGTGGAAGAGGAGATATGAAAAATATTTATTTATTTACAGCATTGTGTATTGACAATATTCGTCTGTTAGTATATATTACATTTTTTGTCCATTGTCCACCGTCCAGATACGTTTTCTTTGTTTGTGTCCATTGTTCACCGTCCAGATACGTTTTCTTTGTTTGTGTCCATTGTTCACCGTCCAGATACGTTTTCTTTGTTTGTGTATATATTATGTACTTCTAATAAGTGACAAAACTAAAATCTTATAATATCAACTACATCCACTAATATATTTTGAGATTTTAATACTCTTGTTAGATATGCATTAATATATAAATATTTTATTTAGTATTTTCTACCTTGGGGCTTACACCTCGCCTCACCTCATGTTTTCGTACTTTAAAACCTTGGGGGTAGAGCTAAGATATGCATACATCCTACCCTCCAAGACCCTACTTTGTGTGGGATTCACTAAATTCATATGGTTTGATTTTAATTAGATGAAATTGCAACTATGAAGTTCAACATGAAGAGGATGTTCCAAACAAAGGACATCAAAACCCCTCTAAGCATTTGCTTTCTTGGAATTTAGGTGGCTACATTCCCAAAGGGCATATTTCTATGTTGGAGAAGGTATATGTCAGACATTGTCGCTGCAATCAACAATAGGATCGCAGATTCTCTTTAGATCCCAAGCATGCTGATGATGAGCTTCTTAATGATACATAAAAGTATGCTTAATGAACTGACACCAACTAAAGATCACTAAACATCTATGCCTACTTTTTCATTTTCAAAATGTGCCCAAGTTAGGTCATCATCGCATGTTAGTCATTGGGATGTAGTACTACAGAGGTTGAATTTTTCAAAGAGTGCTCTAAGGCAAGGCTTTCTAAATACGAATTAAGGGTCACTACAAAGAAATATGGTTTTCAGAGAAGGAATTAGGGAAGGACTTGTAACCATTGATAAGATACATGTTCGAGAAGGAATTAAATGAAAAAAGTGAAAAGTGTTACCGAAGCTAAGGCAACTTTCAGAGAAGCATTTTTAGTCAAGTTATACCCTACAAAAAAAATCTTCTCTAAAGCTCATATTTGTTGTAGTGGGTTAGATCGTATAGTCAAGTTACAGGTTATGCAAACATTGGTCATGTGGGTCCAAGACCAAATATTGTGTTCTTTTTGGAGGTGGTCCCATACCCAACTACATACATAGGATGATATTTCACATCCAAATTCAAAAAAATACAGATGTTATATCAACTTGGTTTGTGAGTCAATTTGGCATCTGTCTGAAAACAATATACATAGCCGAGTCCAAATTAGTCTTCTATCTAAAATAGGCACAAACCATTCAAACTCACAGAGTGCAATAGTTTTTAAAAAACTCCTAAAAAATTCTCAATTATCATGGTGAAGAAAATTTCACTGAAGACCACTGAAAACCAAGAAGCAACTATAAGAAGCAACTATTCATAATGCAACTGTTATGAAATTCACATTGAGGCAATAATCAACAAGAATATGCATTGAACAACATTTACAAGCAAGACAAGTGTACCTTTGTTAGAATATACATGTCCTTCAGGATAGCTGTTGATAAACTGAAAAGAGGCTTCCCACTCAGTCCACCGCTTTCCTTTGACACAGGGTTTCCCTGCACTACTTCTGGCCTTGAAATGGTTGTATTTGATATAATCTACAAGCAACAAGAAAGCATATCAAGATCCATGATTAGTGTTTGAATCCTCGGTGAGATTGAACAAAAGTCGATGAATGCCATTATCTTTCTGGAACTGAATACCCAATATTTGAATAGATATGCAGCTATAAACCAAACCAAACTGAACTGAACTGAACCGAACCAAATAAACCCAGTACCACTCAGAAGTGGGGTCTGGGGTGGGATGTATGCAGTTCTGTCCTCTACCCCAAAGAGTAGAGCAGAGATCTCCGGCCTGCAAAAAATATTTGACAAAAAATCGAAAAGCTTGCAACCAGCTTGGAAAATACGGGGTTTTTTAAAATTTAGGCTATGCTTCGCAGCAATTGTTACATAGAAATCTATTCTGTTGTACAGGGAAGCCTACTAAATAAATCACTGAAAGCTAATGAAATGCAGTAAACATTTGCATGGAGAAACATACCAAACCATCCAAGCGGAGAGCAAGAGCAACCTGCAGTGTCAAAGTGGAAAAAATAAGAACCCTAAGTTTTGACAGGGTAAGTGTTCTGTTGCAAATATACATACCGCTGCAATATCTTCAAGGTCTTGCTTAGACAAGTCTGGAGCAATTTTGACTAGCAATGGAGGAGGACCCTCTTCACCCCATTGCATTTCATCACGAGCTGCTTGAACCTTTAATGATAGCAAACATGAGATGGATTTATAGCTTTGTCACTCGATTAACTCAATCGGATTAGAAGCATCAGTAACTGATGAAATTTCAAACCTTCTTGACAAGGTCCTTCAACTGTTTTCTTCCTTGAAGCTGACGGAGTCCAGGGGTATTGGGCGATGAAATATTAATTACCTATAACACGACTGAATTATCAAAAATACAAAGGAATGCCTAAAAGAAGCCTGCTACATGAAATTATAAGGGATTGACATTCAATAACACAAGAAAAAAAGATGGCAACGATTAATCATTTCATCAAAATCCAACTTAAGCAGCAAAAAAAAAACAATGCGCAAGGAGTTGGTAGGTAAGGTGACATGAAACAGAAAGAAGGCTGCAACTCCAAGAATGGAGTCTCATTTTCAACAACCACAGCACCTAAAGGAGAAAGACAAAGACGTGTATCACCACTTCAAAGCTTCATTCGTCGTTTTGGCTAAGAGAATAATATACTCCATCATGCCATGACTAAGTGGCTTCATATCGACTTGCACCATCGTGAAACTCACTCCCAACTTCTCTTGATGCCAAGGCACATCCTTGCAGCATTTCCCTAAGGCTGCATTCCGTACATGGGAAGGAGCAGGACTGGACAAAAGTTTTTGTTTGGCATAGCATGGGCTTGGGACAAGGTGGGACTATGACAGTTTTTCCTACATTAAAACTTCTTTTTAAACTTGTAAGTTTTTTATGCTATTGAATGGGATGGTAAAAGCATGATATATAAGCGACTTTTAATAAAATTGTTTATATATTTAGTTGGCATGTCCCATATATAATTATTATATTGTAAATGTTTTTAACTAAAATATTTAAAAATGTACTTGTCCTATCATGTCCGGTCCAGTTCATTTTTGTCATCTTCAGTTTACATAGCAAACGCAGCCTAGATATCAATATTTACTAAAGGATATGATATCAATAAAAACTAAAAAGTGGGAAAATACACAAGTTTCATCACAGCTCAATGCCAGCAAATCTTTTCTGATACAAACCAAGTTTCTGAGGTCTGCATTCTAACATATAGAGTCTCTTGCACAAAAAAAAGCATTCTGTTAGTTCTAAAGCAATGAAAGCTTGATAGCTGTTCTCACCAAGGAAGATGTATTTTTATCAATTTCAACAGAAAAACTGGAGATGTATGTTAATCAACCAGAAAAGAAACAATGAAGCTATTTATAGATTTTTGCATAGCAGAACCATCTGAGAATATCATACCAAAATCACATTTTTAAGTAAGCTTATAGGTGAAATGATCAGAAGTCAAAGCTATGAAGGTCACGGAACAAATTAAAATTCCAGTGAAAATAGGGAAGCTACCAAGTAATCAGCATACTGGGATAATGTATGTACGCCTTGTACATAATCTGCAGCAGCATCTTCACTAGTTTTATTCTTCCCAATATTGACCCCAAGAATTCCTGGACCAGCTTTCCCTCCATGTTTGACTTCTTCACTAGAAGAAGTTGCAGTACTTGATGTTTCATCAAGCTTTCTCTTACCATGTTGGGCACCCAACCTTTTGGCAACAGCAACTATTCCTTCGCTATTAAAGCCACACCTGTTAATTATGGCACTGTCCAAAAACAAAACATGATGACTGATTATTAACCAGAAACAGTATTCTCATGACTGCAATCTTTCTAGACTACAGAAACTATGTATTACAAGAAACTATTATCGGTAGTAAACCTCCGATCATTAGGGCTTGTAATTATTAATAAAAATACTTGATTCTTACTCCTCATTTCTCAATCTGAAAATACGAGGCTTTGGATTGCCCTCCTGTGGAATAGGAGTTACTGATCCAACTTCCACAAAACCAAAACCTAATCCAAGTAAACCTTCAACAGCCTCAGCATTTTTATCAAAGCCAGCAGAGAGCCCTATTGGATTGGAAAACCTTCTTCCCCAAACTTCAAGTTCTAGTATTGGCGGATCTGGCCTCTTTTCCCTAGGAACCCACCCACGAGCTGCTGCAGAGACGGCCAGACGATGAGCAACCTCTGGATCCAGCAATGCAAAGAACGGATTTACAACTTTTGTTGCTGAGAATAGCCAGCCACTGCAGAAGTATCTTAGTCATGTGAATCGTCCATCAATAAGTGTAACAACCACAGCTAACAAATTTGGAAAAACATAAAGGATAGTTGGTACAAAAAATTTCTTTGTACATCTACTCCATCATATTAGTACTTGAAATAAATCATAAACAACATGTATATTATATTATTATCTTTCCTGAACCTCGACATAAAACCCAAATAGAGTGTTACTAGAAAATTTTATACATTACAACAGCTCCGTTACTCGCACTGAATTTTGATGATTATCTTTCCTGAACCTCAACATAAAACCCAAATAGAGTGTTACTAGAAAATTTTATACAGTACAACAGCTCCGTTACTCGCACTGAATTTTGATAGTAAGCATCAACAGACTAACACATGCAGGACTGCCCAATAGACTAACACATGCAGCACTGCCCAATTTCTACTAATTATATCATTGTATTTTATCCAGATGTTCTACAAGAACGTCCTTATAGCACGTAAAAAGTTTAGGCTGCAACTTTAACGGTTGGATGAATTTATAACGAGATAGCTATCAAATTTCTGCCAACAATCGAAATTTCCAGGATAAACGATCAATGAGGAAGGATTAGATTGAGTAAAAAAACAATTTAGGACAAGGCTTAAGACCACAGAACCTTTTTAGTTTGGCATCACCTATGTCACTTGCTTGTAGCTAATTAGTTTACGCGCTAAACTTCATTTCACCATCTTGCTCTTTTCACTATATAAGGTAGGCAGGTCAGAAGCAGATTTTGCATCTACCCCTCATCAACTCAGCTATTGAGTGCTTCAAAGGTGTGGTCCAGTGAGCATAGGTGTGACTATGACTGTCCCAAAGACTATTTTGCTCCTCTTGAACTTGAATATGAAAGGATCCAAAAGACTATTTTTGCTCCTCTTTTAATTGGACCAATGAGATTTGAATTCTATAAATTGGAAATAAGGAGTAATAAGTAAAACCAAGATAAAGTTTGCATCCTAGGTTGCAAGAGAGAAAAAAGTAGGTACTTGGTATTGCGTCTTAATGGTACTCCTCCTAACTTACGTATTCGATTGGCTCAATTAAGTATGACGGGCGTAGCCCAACACTGGTTCACGATCGTTAATCAGATTTATGATTCGATCTCGTGGGAGCAGTTTCACGTCGAGCTGCTCCAACGATTTAGTGGGTTGGAAATTCAGAATCCTTATGAACAATTATCAACAATCAAACAAGGGGCATCGATTTATGACTATATCGATGACTTTGAGTATTTGTTATCGTTGGTTCCCAAACTTCCAGAATCACAGTCGTTGGGATATTTTATTGCGGGATTGAAAGATGATGTTAAGCGTTGGGTTCGATTACATCGTCCTCAATCGTGATTAGATGCTATGTATCTAGCCAAGGATATCTCTGTCCCATTTTCGTTATCAACCTGGGCCTAGTCCTAGTTTCTCCAAAGATATTAGGCCCAATTTGGGAGGTCGTTTGGACCAATTCAGGCCCAATTCATTTTCTCCGTCCGACAAAAACCCGGCTATGGGGCGACCAGAAGGCAATCGTTCTTCGCCTCTTCCACGTAATCAGGGACCGACTTCTACTGATTTTGCTCAGCTGTTTAATCGTAATCGGGGTTTTAAATCTCTCACACAAACTGAGTGGGAGGATCGTAGGAAGAAGGGGTTGTGTTTTCGGTGCGGCCAACAATTTGGGGCAGCGCATAAATGTCCAAAGGGTCAGTTGAGCGTTTTGTTACTGGGCGATGATGAATCTGGTGACGAGGACGGGTTGATTACCAACCTCGAAGCTAACTTACAATTGGCATCTCCACCGGAGGATGCAAATTCAGCAACTTTGTATTTGACTCTTGACTTTCTTGGGGCTTCGGCTGAGTCTGCTTCAGGGAGTAAAACTCTCAAATTTGAGGGCACCATTACGGATATTCCAGTCACCATTTTGGTTGATAGCGGGGCTACCCACAATTTTGTCTCTCGAAAGTTAGTAAGGTCTCTTGGATCATCGGTGGAATTTTTTGCCGGAATCTATATTCAGTTGGGGGACGGTCATCGAATTCACGTCAATCAGCGATGTCCACTGTTGAAAATTAAAGTGGGACCTTGTGAGTTCGTAATCGCAGCATTGGTTTTTGATATGGGGCAATTGGATTTGGTTCTTGGTATTGAATGGTTAAAAACTTTGGGGGATGTGGTCCATAATTGGGACAGATCGTCGATGCAGTTTGTTTTTCAAGGCGTCTTGGTTCTTCTCCAAGGATTGCCTAAGTCGGAACGTTCCCAAGCTTCTTTACAATCTTGGTTGTCCTTGCCAACCTCGAAGGCTGCCTCATGTTCAACCTTAAGGCCTGCCAACGAGGAGTTTACCCCAATGCAGTGCCAACAATTACACGTCTTACTCAAACGATTTAAGGAAGTTTTTCGTGAACCGTCGGGGCTGCCTCCTTCCCATCCACATGATCACTCCATCTCCTTGGTTTCCCCACATGAACCAATATGCATTCGACCTTACCGATATCCCCATATTCAGAAATCTGAGATCGAAAGACAAGTTCAGGAGCTATTAAAATTGGGAATGATTCGGTCGAGTAAGAGTTCTTTTTCGAGCCCAGTCATCCTTGTTCGTAAGAAGGATAACTCTTGGCGTATGTGTGTCGATTATCGAGCTCTTAACAAGGCAACTATTCCGGACAAATTTCCAATTCCCGTAGTTGAAGAACTCATTGATGAGCTTAAGGGAGCCAAATTCTTTTCCAATTGGATTTGAAATCTGGCTACAATCAAATTCGAATGGAACCGACGAGTATTGAGAAAACGGCATTCCAAACACATGACGGTCATTATGAATATCTTGTGATGCCCTTTGGGCTCTCAAATGCCCCGACAACCTTTCAAGCGGTTATGAATGATGTCTTTCGACCACTTTTACGAAAAACGGTAGTGGTTTTTTTTTATGACACTCATTTACAGCCCTTCGTGGAATCAACATATGTGGATTTAGAATTGCTCTAAAGATCTTATGAGAAAACCATTTTGTGGTTAATCAGAAGAAATGTTCATTTGGCCAAACATTAGTAGAATATTTAGGCCACATTATTAATGGTGAGGGAGTAGCTATGGATCCTAAAAAAATTGAAGCGGTTTTGGATTGGCCGGTTCCAAGAAACATTAAATGGTTACGGGGATTCTTGGGTCTCACCGGCTATTATCGAAAATTTATTAGACATTATGGGAGTATTGCGAGGCCACTTACGGATTTGACTAAGAAGGATGCGTTTGGGTGGAGTGATGAAGCGCAACAGGCCTTCGTTTCTTTAAAGGAAGCAATGGTTACTGCCCCTCTTTTGGCCTTGCCGGATTTTCGTTTACCATTTGGGGTCGAGTGCGATGCGTCTAGCCGCAGAATAGGAGCTGTCCTAATGCAACAAAACAGACCCCTGGCTTATTTCAGCAAAGCTCTTAACGACAGAAATTTGGCAAAATCAGCATATGAAAGAGAGATAATGGCGTTGGTGTTAGTTGTTCAACACTGGCGGTCGTATTTGTTGGGAACAAGATTCGTGGTCTACACCGACCAAAAGAGCCTTAAATTTTTGTTACAACAAAGAATTACGACACCAGATCAACAAAATTGGGTGGCCAAGCTATTGGGGTATGATTTTAACATTTGTTATAAGCCGAGTCGTGAAAATCGAGCAGCTGATGCTTTGTCTCGAAAAGCCGCTGATGGGGAACTTCTTACTGCAGTATCGACACCAATTTGGTTGCAGGGATCACAACTTCTGGATGAAATCCGTGCGGACACGGGAATTCAGCGATTGTTGGCGGAATGTAAGGCTGACCACTCGCGTCACCTGAGGTTTTCCGTTCGTCATAACATGTTATACTATAAAGACCGTCTAGTGATCCCTCGTACTTCAAAATTCATTCCTATGTTGTTGAATGAGTTTCATAAATCTGCTTCGGGTGGGCATTCAGGGTACTATCGCACTTACCGTCGATTGGCAGCCAACATTTATTGGCCAGGTATGATTGCTCTAGTTCAAACTTTTGTTAGAGCATGTGAAGTCTGCCAACGATGTAAGGCAAGTTCAACAGCTCCTGGAGGTCTTCTTCAACCCTTATCCATTCCAAGTGCGATTTGGGAAGACATCTCTATTGATTTCGTCGTCGGGTTACCCARATCTMGGGGTTTTGATSCGATTCTGGTGGTAGTCGACAGGCTGTCTAAATACAGCCATTTCCTATTATTAAAACACCCTTATACCGCTAAATCGGTGGCTGAACTGTTTGTGCGTGAAGTAATTCGCCAACATGGTATTCCGAAATCGATTGTAAGTGATCGGGATCCCTTGTTTCTTAGTCAGTTTTGGCAGGAAATCTTTCGCTCCCAAGGGACTAAATTTAATATGAGCTCCGCCTATCACCCGGAATCTGATGGTCAAACGGAAGTTATTAATCGTTGCTTAGAGACTTATTTAAGATGTTTTGCTGTTGATCAGCCACGTTCGTGGTCAATTTGGATTCCATGGGCCGAATTTTGGTACAATTCGACATTTCACGGATCAACTAGGAAGTCTCCGTTCGAGGTGGTGTATGGTCGCAAGCCACCGACACTATTACAATTTGTACCAGGTGAGATTCGCGTTCAAGCCATGGCACAAGAGCTTCAAGATCGCGATGAAGCTTTAAGGCAACTCAAACAACATTTGTCTAATGCTCAATCGGCGATGAAGGAACAAGCGGACAGAAAGCGTAGGGATGTGAAATTTCAAACAGGAGAGTGGGTTTACGTTAAGCTAAACCCTATCGACAAATATCGGTGGCTCAACGTATCCATCAGAAGTTGGCGGCGCGATTTTTTGGTCCATTCAAGGTGCTAGAAAGGATTGGGCTTGTGGCTTATAAGATGGAACTGCCAACATCATCTAAAATACACCCTGTTTTTCACGTGTCTTTGTTAAAGAAGGTTGTTCGAGCGCCTACAAAAACGGTGTTACCTCCAGAGATGGAGATTGGGACAACCGTATGTTAGTCCCGGCAGCTATTTTGGCTTCTCGTACGATTTCGGAGCATCATGAGCAAGTTCGTCAATGGTTGATCCATTGGAAGGGTTATCCAGTAGAGGAGGCAACATGGGAAGATGCAGCAAGTATTCAGATCCAGTTTCCTGAAGCAAGTCTTGAGGACAAGACTTTTTCTGAAGGAGGGWGTAATGATGGGAATCCAAATATTGTAGCCCAACGTATTTCAAGCCCAAGAGTGTTTCAAGTCTATTCTAAAAGGGCCAAGAGGGCAAATCAGGAAAGTGGCTAATTTTTCTGTTAGAGGAATGAGAAGGGAATAAAAGGGGTGGGGAGGTGAGTGCATGAGGTGTGCAGAAATATTCTTGTTGATTGGCTCTTAGCTTGATAGCTTAGAGAGAGGGATTCTCCCTGGATTGCGTACGGCTGTCTTCTTCATTCTATTTTTACGAATTCAATGAAATCCTCCTTCATCCTATTCTCTGTTAGCTAAATTGCTTCTTTTGATTACTTCATCTTTATCATTATCATACGAGTAAAACTAGAATCTAGTATTAGGCTATTAGCATCAGCTCATTTGACAATCCTATACAAGCAACTCTTTTCGCATGCCCGCTTGACAAATTACCTCATTTTTGGTCCACTATCCAATCCGATCTAACTAGCCTACTTGTGACCACAATTATGCATGGAATAGGTTTTTATGCTTTCTTATAATCTACAGAAATAGAAGACTCTAAAACACTATAAGAAAATGTTTGCTCTTGTATGTCAAGTATGTTATTGACAAATCAAAAACTTTGCATGATCCTTTCTAATTGGTCTTCGTTGATTCGAAGCACTAATTTTGAAGACAAACATTTAGTGGAAAAAAATGAAGTAAATTTCACTATACAAATTCTACAGTTAACTACAACCTTTTTCCATCGGTAAAACATATTCTCCAACCAAAATACGAATATGCAAAACCTATTGGTATGCCTCTTTATCAGCTTAACGAGACTTATGCTCTAACCGCCTCTTTCCTTAGCTAACTTCTGTCATTATGTTATAGTTTGCATGTACCAATACCATCCCATGTGCTATCATTAATCGATGTGCCAAGTTGATAAAGTGAATCTATTAATCTGGATTAGCTTTTATCTCCTTTTCTCTCTGCATGTAATGAAGGAGTTCTATCCAAGTTCAGAGAAACATCTCAAGTACAGGGCATCCTTGATCCATTTCTTTGCATAGGTCAAATTGTGATACTCTGGCTAATCTACCAAACAGAGTGCATGAGCAGGTGCAACAGATTAAAAGAGCCAGTGGAAACCCTTCCTCCTAAACCTTGACGGTTGTGACTCCATCCCCACAATATAAATAAACAAGATAAGAAAGAAAATGCAACAGCAAAAGACAAGAGAAATGTCACTTAAAATAAACAATCTAAAGCATCACATACACCATAATCACTGTACACAAGGTACAACATATTACTATTGTTCAGCTGACAGAGAATAAATCATATCCTAATTTCTAACAAGCAACTCATTTTTATGCAATATACTTAAGATCCAGAAGAAATTTGAAGCCGGTCACAAGAAAAGATAAATTCAAGTTGGGGGTAAAGGCCCAGTGGTATGGATGTACGAAAGAACTACCACCATTCACATGGAGTAACTTAGCTTCAGATCATTTAAATTGGACATGAAATGCAGTGAGACATGCACCACATAACCAACTGTGAATGATAACTAGTTTTAGGTACAATAATACCATAAGGCTCTCTTCCCTAATCATATCCAGATTAAGTACCCGAATGTTGCCTCATCAACCGTGCTCGCATAAGCTCCTCCAGCTATCACAAGGCCAATGGTGGCTCCTGTAAGTAATCTTCCCTACAGTTTAACATAGCTACAATTCAGAATCCCATACCCATGAAAATTTCAAAATTTTCCTGATCCATAACTCAGCCTAATAAGCATACATGCTACATCCTTACCAAAATTCCAAAATAATTGGAAGGTCGGGATTTTATATACTGTTATATCAACTAAAGAAAACCAAAGCTGCCAAAACTGTGATGCTTAACTATTTAAAAGTCACGCATATACCCATAGGGGGGAATCTTGCATTACAAGGAAAGTGCAACTGTAAATGCAGCATTTGCTAAGTGTCAACGTGTATAAATTCTGCATTTAAATTCTGAGTCCATGTTTGATCTTTAGAACTAAACCAAACACTTCTCATTTTCTAGTTGACGTGATACTTTTTCCCGGCACCAAATTCGTACTGTTAATTATAAAGTACTGATCAAAAACCAGATTCAAAAATTGCAAAAAAAGTAACTTAAAAAGTTAATCCTCATCTCTCAAAAACCAAACATGAACTTATATCTTAAAGCAAAAGATAGTTAATTGAGTCTTCCCATACATTAATATCCATGTTTAAATGTGCATGTGTTGTTTGCATATACGTATATGGATTTATACGGTATTCCCTTTCATCCCAAGTACTAGTCCTCTCTTGGTTTCTTATATTCAAACCTAATACATTTTAAAGCAAAACATATTAATTTTGAGGTTAAAAACACACTCAAAAATCAAATATATTCCATTTTTTGAACAGAGGTGGTACATACACGTATGTTCTAAAGAAAGAAAAGTCACCTTTCTTGAAGAATGAGGAATATTGGGTTTAGCAGCAGCAGTCGAAGAAGAAGAAGAGGAATAATGCCTGAGAGTGGCAATGGGAGCCGCCGTCGATTTCAACTTCTGTGTCAAACATTCTTTCACGAATCTAAATGCAATTCTTCCCGTCATCTTTCCAAGAAATCCGCCACAACACACAAATTGATTATGTTCTTCAAGCTCACGATTCGACTTCTCAAAATTCAAAAACTTCCCTCGTTTGCTAAGAGTATAACATGCTCAAATTCATTTGCAATTAGGGGAATCACTATGCATTCGATTGTGGAGGAAGAAATTGAAGAGTTTCTACGCTAATATTTTGACGTAGAAGATTGTCGGCTTTTGGTATTTACTTCGTGGAAACCCTTGTTCCTTCGAAGTGCCCTTTTCGGCCAAACTTAACCTATGGTATTCGTTATCACCAATTTTGGTCCTTCAACTTTTTATTCTATCAAAATTATAATAGCATCAACAATAATAGATATTTTAGAATTTTCTAAAGGGTGGTTTGTTTATCTTTTAATAGTTTCATTAAAAGGGAGTTTCTGAATTGTCAAGAGGTGAATCTTGTTTGACAAAAAAAAATTGCCTCTTAATAATCCTAAAACCCTCTGAATGATTGTGTATCATGAGACTCCCTTAACCATTAAACGTTCTAATTTCATTGTAAACAATTATCAAACATTATATTTTATTTTGTACTATATTATGAGAGTCTTTTAATCATTCTGCACCAAACCATTCAGTAATTATCAAACAGTCCCTAAGATTAAACTCTAAATTTGCTCTCTCAAGTTTAGTGAAAAGTTTGAAAGTGGAACCTCAACTAAATATATAAATAATCCGTACGGTTTATATTTTACTTTGAAAATGATCCATGACAACTAACTCCGTTAACAATGTCCGTCACAATGAAGGGTGGTTACGTTTTTTTACTAATCTTCATAATTATCTTTTTTAAAATTATTCAAACTATATTATATTATTAATTATATTTATACTATGTTATAAAGCATTTGACAAAAACTCTTAAAAACCATTTTTTATATATAAAATATTGTTTATTGATCCATATTACTTAGAAACATCCAACTCGTTTTTTAAATATTAGCATTTGAAAGTTCTTAAAAACATCCAAGCAGCTTCAATTTATACCCTTCGTCCCAAACATCCAACTCGTTGCAAACACACATCTACAAAGGAATTACATTTAACTTTAATAGACTCTCTATTTTAAAGATTTCAACATTCACCATATTATTAAAAATATATCATCTTAATAATTTTCTTTAAAAATATTTTATATAAAATAATAATAATTTAATATAAGTGGGAATGAATAAAAAACTAATTTCTCTCTGGACCCATTAAGTCTTAGAAATTTTGTAGTTTTCTCTATTTTAATAACGATATAGAAATATTTTGGAGAAAAATAGAGAACAAAGGGTCATTTTCTCTATTTTACAAAATCGGTTGAAGATGTTTTAAAAGTATATTTAATGGACTCTTTACATCTTTACATTAACTAATACTAGAAGGATGATTCCGTAATGCAGCGAGATACATCGAGATAATATTTTGTTTTGTTTTTTTGTCTTTATCGATATAATACAGTTTTATGTGACATTAAGAAAACGATAATGTTTATATTCATAAAAAAATTAAAAAAATATAGTCGATGTTAGTATAAAATTAACTATTTAAAATTTTTCGTTCTTTAGATAATTTCTTTAATTCAAATTTTTATTATAATTTAAAGGTTTAATAACGAAGTAATTCATTTTGATTTAATAGTATAATTTTTATAAGGATAATAATTAAGTATTATTATATAAGTATAACTCAATGATTATCCTAGTTATATTTTAAATTTTTTATATTTAAAATGAGATGTTTATCATGTAGTTGATTATGTTTATCTGCAGTTAGTTACACGAATTCAAACGTGGGGCTTTAATAAATTGTATTTATGCATAGTTTACTTGTAATCTCGAATTTTAAGTAATATGCATCAATATACAGTATTTAATGTATAAAAAATAGTTTTTAAAAGTATTTGTCAAATGTTTTATAATATAACTAGAAGGTACTCGCGCAATGCAGTGAGATACATATTCATTTTAATGTTTCGCTTTATTTTTTGTCTTTGTTGATATAACACGGTTTATGTAGTTTTGAGAAAGATAATGTTTTTACTTTTGAATAAAAATAAATTAGAAGACATCATAAATTTTTTTAAAAATATATCGATATTAATATCAGATTAACTATTTAAAAGTTCTTGTTTTTATATAATTTATTTTTTATTATAATTCAATTTAGGTCAAATAGTGAAATAACTTATTTTTGGCTTAACAATAAATTTTTTATAAAGATAATGATTATGTTAGAACTCGATAATTATTCTAATTATATTTTAGATTTTTTATATTTTAAAATGAGATGTTTATCCGCAGTTAGTTACACGAAATCAAACATGGAGCTTTAATAAGTGGTGTTTATGCATAATTTACTTGTAATCTTGAATTTTAAATAATATGCATTTAATATATAGTATTTCATACATAAAAAACGGTTTTTAAGAGTTTTTTTCAAATGTTTTATAATATAGCATAGATATAGATAAGGCTGTAAACGAACCGTACGAACACGAACGGAAGCTTGTTCATATTCGTTCGTTTAACTTAACCGAACAAACGAACGAACACGAACGGTAAACGAACGAAAATCTTTGTGTTCGTGTTCGTTCGTTTAGAAATCAGGTATGTTCGTGTTCGTTTATGTTCGTTCGTTAACATGCTAAACGAACGTAAACGAACGAACATAAACGAACGGACTAAACAAACATAAACGAACGGGCTAAACGAACATAAATAAATATTATTTGAATTCAAAGCATATAAACAAAAGATTATATATTAAGTTTAATATATAAACGAACATAAACGAACGTAAACGAACGGTAAATGAACGAACGAGACTCTTGTTCATGTTCGTTCGTTTAACTAAACGAACAAAAAATTTGTTTATGTTCATTGATTTATTAAATAAATGAACATAAACGAATTGTCTAGCTTAACGTAAAAAAAATTGTTCATGTTGTTTAACTTAACCTGTTTCATTTTCCTTTTCATAATAAATTATGAAACCGGTGCATTTTGAAAATAAATTATGAAAAGGAAAATGAAACAGATTTCATGAACGTGAAACCGGGTTTTGTTGCAAATAAATTATGTGAACCGAAACATTTTCATGGTGAAACCAATTTCGTTATATAATGTAATTCAAAATTTAAAACGATTCACTCCATATAATTGAATATGGTGTGTTATATTCATTTTTTTATATGTTTTATTGATGGATGTGATTTAAAGTTAAAAATAATATATTGCTTTAAAAAATGAAAATAGTGTCATTAATATCTAGAAGAATGTTACCAAATGTTAAATTTTGTTTACCAATTTTGCCCTTACTGTTGAAATAAAATAAAATTTTAATATATATATTTTTTAATTTCCTAAAATAAAGTAAACTAATCTTGACAGTTGATCAAGAAAATAGATGGATGAGATTGGTTTACACGGTTTACATTAATGGGGCAGGTTTTTATTTGAACGTTCCTATATATCTATACTAATTCGACGTCCATATCCCTCCTATGTATTCGTTCATATCCCTATCTCTTTGATCCATATCCTCAATTCCACGTCCATATCCCTCGGATTCTTCCATATCCTTCTCTATTTTAAATTCAAACAACCTCTTCTTGCATATCGTYCTATCGATTTCAACTGCTTCGTGCTTATCGTCCTACCGATTTCAACTGCTCAACCGATTTAGATTGCGGTTGTTTTCCAGAATACAAGCATCCAATTTTCCAAGGTTTGTTTCCTTTACCATATTGTTCGATTTCTAGGGTTTCTCTATGGCATTTGTTTTATTTTGGCAACCTAATTTCTAATTAATTACCCATTTGTGTTCTACTTAGGGATTGTAGTATGTTTGTTTCATTTTCCATTTAAACGAGCCGCTCGCTGCTGGCCGTAAAAAGGTTAGGATTGTGTTAATTTAATCCAATTTAAACTTGACCTACGATGGTTAAAGATGTTCTTGGTGCTAGAATCAAAATTGATACTAATTTTGAATTTGACATTCGAATAGCAAACGTAKAATYTGTTTTTGATTGAAAGTTTGCTTAGAAAAGAAATATTGCATTTGTTTTGGGATATATCTCAAAAAGAGATTCTTGGGATGGAGCCCGGATCGAGTATTCTCAAAATATTGCATTTGTTTTGGATATAGTTACTGGTGTTGCGGTATCTAACAACGGCTTCGACAACGGCTGATTTCTCTAATAAAGGTAGTCTTTCTGTCCTTATGTTATTTTTATCTCACGTTGCATTTTGCCTATAGTTTTTTTCTGCATAAAGGTAGCTGTTACTAGGCAGAAATGCAGGTATAGGACTTCTATGGTGGTCTTTTATCAAGCCACTTAATCATGGCTTTTCACCTCAACATGCAAGTAATAGCCTCGAGTAGTAGCTTATACAACAATGCATCTTATCTTTTCACCTCAACATGCAACGTTTTGATTAATATTTAATATGCCACAGAATTCTTTTTGCATCTCCAAACTGATTTTGGGCTTTGAGATTTGTGATTTTCTCGCTAACCACATTGAACTACATGAAAGAATGACCCTGGTGTTGATATGCAGTGAAATACTTAATAATTTTGAATTTCAAACATACTAGGTTTGGCTGAAATAATAAAAGTGTAGCTCCTATAATCCTATTGGAAACAGAAGTAGTGCTTTGTATGTTTCTACAAGCTTTGATGGCTGCTTATGGATGCTAGCAACTTATATGGAGAAAGATTAAATCTCCTTCAACACCAACTTATTTGAGTTTGTCTCACTTTGAGATTTTGTTAATGAAGGATTGATGGAAGGGAACAAAATATATGAAGATCACTTAAAAGTTAAAACGATATGCAGACCCTTTAGAAAGAAGATGAGGACATCTGTTGTTCAACAGAATGAACAAAATGCAAGCTTAATAAATCTATATTATCTTATAAAGTATATAGGTAACTATACAGTGCTCTTATGGTCTTGCGATCGCTAAGCCCGTCCTGACTGTCCCTGGACTTTCAGTTGTCTTGAGCCAATACCATGTTGTCTCATAAGTTTAAAAAGAGTCGGTAAATAAGGACCAATTTTGCTTAGGAGTCTAATCACTGTATCCGACTGGTTGGCCACTTGGCCTTGGCGCTACTGATCTTTGGTATGTTTAACTAACCCCAAGGGGGCATAAAACGGTTTTATTCT